CCATCGCAATCAAAAGTCATTTAGGTCTTTGCGATTTGCATACAAAAGGGAACGCTAGAAGCACTCAGGAGAAGATTGATTTCGATCAGCTTGCGTTGCATGGGCACTACTCTGCCTGTCAACAATGGCGGACCGTTTGTGGAGGAAGTTCGGCTGACAAGAAGATCTTTCAAAGGTAAATTTAGGGTTTTCATCTTTGTTTTTAGCCAATAAAACAATTTTATTGGTTTTAGAGAACACCCAAAACATGATAAGAGTTTTCATTATGAAGAATTCGCTAGTTTTTGTACTCAAAGAACCATTTTTCATGGTGTTTACGCTAGATTTTATATAGCAAATACAGGCGCAGGGCATTTTTGGCTTTATTACAATGTTTTCCAAAACCTAGTTTATATATTTTTGAAATGTTTATATAGTGTTCTACTAATGTGAAAAAAATCAGACTAAGCAAATTTGAGCAAGATTGGTTTTTTGACATCTCAAATGTAGACTATAGCAACTATTTGCTATATAAAATCTAGCGTAAACACCATGAAAAATGGTTCTGCTTGTCAACTTAAACATTGCGCTTGATATCAAAAACAAATGACTAGACAAGCGAAACAAATGACTAGACATAGAACACAAGGGTCTTGGTGTAATGAAAATCAACTTGATGTATAAAAAGTACTGCTTGATCATGAAAAAATGCAACTTGAAGTTTTGTCACGTTTGGGCTAGCATATAAATTTTGTCCATTTATTTCAGATTTAATTGACCCAATAATCGAGGAGGTTTTACCGTCCGACTATCTCATAGAGGAAGATCCATTGTTATACAAATCCAAAAAGACCAATAGAGGACCAATGCTGCCCAACTGGCTTGATGAATACCAATCTGATAATCCTCCTTCTAGTGTCATGTGTGCTTACAAGTTAATCAAAGTCGAGTTTAAATATTGGGGAATGCAGGTAAATTATTCAATTATTCTACCTCAATACATGAAATTTTTGCCACACGTTCATTTCACGATTTGGGGGCTCACACATTTTGCAACAATTTAATTTCTTGTTTTTGCCTTAAAAACATCTTCTAAGTCGACTTAATTTTGCAATTTCATTGAATAAATGACTCATGATTAATAGACCTTTATACCTCRGGCGTAATGTTTTCCCATTTCAGACCACAGAACATTCCCTAGAATATGATTTCTTTGTTTAACGGTTGCACATTAGAAGACAAGAATATGGATACAACTCAAACAAAGAATCTTATTCTCAAGAGAATGGGACACGTGGTCTGAAATGGGAAAACTTTACGCCCAAGGAAGAGAGGTCTGTTGATGACAAATAGACACTTTCCTTGAACAAAATGACTATTACCAAATATTAGCAATAAAAAATGAAGACATTATAAAATTTCATTTTTTTCTCCTCAGAACAAAATTGAGCACTTTATTCATTGTGGTCTTCGCCGTCCAATGCTGATGGGTCACAGACAGGCCTGGGTATGGCAAGACGAATGGTATGGACTAACAATGGAAGACATACGAAAACTCGAAGAAGAAACAAAAGCTATCCTGTCTCAAACCATGGGAAAACAAATTGATTCAAATCAACACGGGAATCTCTCAGACCGCGAGAGCGATCAGGAGGGAGGCTTTGCCAACACAGAGAGTAGAGGAAGCGTGGTTCACGTGCCGCCTTTGAACTTTGCGAACATTGAAGGGAAACGCGGTTCTATTAATGAAATAAATGGGTCGAAATTAGAACTTATTTCGAAGTATTCTTTGGAAGAATCTGAAGGGAACATACCATGTCCGCCAGTAGAGATTAACATAGAAAGACACGAACTTGAGAGAGAAGATACTCCTCTTGTTTACCAAGAGCGCGAAAAAGATTTTCCTGGGGTATCGAATATGCGAGATTCCTTTCCAAGGCAAATCAGACCGATATCGTTTAGGGATGGTAAGAGAGGTAGTGTGACGAGCTACGAGAGCGCCTCTGCGTCACTCCCTCGGAGGATGTCTAAGGCTGATGTTATGAAAGGGTGGCAGATGACAAGTATCGAGACGTCTGATTCTACCTCAGAAGATGAGTTCTTTGATGCTCAAGGTACGAACTACACTATTTATTTACATGAACCATTGAAACTTCATTTCTTGATTGGGTGGGTTTCCTCAAGTTTAGAGTTTGGGACAAGGATAAGTTTTTACGTGTGACAATCTTTCTAAACCTCATCTTCGTGCCGACAACAGATGATTTAGGGGAGTCAGAATGGCGTGGTGGTGTTAGAACTCTCGGCTCTCACCTCTAAGGTCCGGGGTTGAAATACAATTCGCCCTGCCCCATCTGAGCTGCCTTGGTTTGTTCTCCTTCTGACTCCAAGAAACTTTCCGCCCCTCCGGTTATTCATCCCTCCCCTCAAACCATTTTTTACGTTGACAGAGGAACTCGACAGTCCCGAAACAGAACCAATGGGATCCAATCTCTTAACGATACAAAATATCGAGCTGAGCAATAGCTTCAAGAGCCTGGAGCTGGACTCTGATTCGTCCCGTGGCTCACGGGAATCCCTCGATTCTGTAGGGTCGTCAGTGATTGATCAAGCCAGGGTAAGTGAATTGATGTAATTCTTTTTGTCCATATCAAACAATGAGTGTCAAAGCTCTCTTTCCCGGTCTTAAAAAAAGGGACTGGGAAGAAGCTTGTTTTTTTCGTATTTCTTGTAGTTTTTTCTTGTTTTTCGTCTTCGCCAAGCTCGAAAATGTCTCTCAGCCGTTTCGCCAGCCGACGAACACGCTTGTCCGCCATCTTTGACCTCAGGGTAAAGACCCGCAATCCAAATATGGAATTATATGATTCCATATATGGAGTGACCTTTCTCAACTCCAACTTTGACACTAATGTACGAGGCAAAACTTAATATGCTAGCTGTGATCGACTCGGAATATTTTTTGAGTACTAACTAGCTTACTTTCATTTTTTCATTTATTTTTTCGCTCATCCATTCATTCATCATTCTTCTTTACTTGTTAGGCTCCAACGTATATCCATAAAGAGAGACTGTGCAAGAAGTACAGCGATACGTCAACCAGTTCTATAACCACGTGTAAAATCACTACCCTCCTATTGGTTGTTCACGGGGGAAGCCAACTCGAAAGTGGCCAGGACAGCCAATCAAAAATCATGGATTTAGAATTAATAGAGGACAGCTTTCAAACCGTCATTAAGTCTCACTACAGGGGTGCCGTGGGGAGATTCGCGATTCGTTTGGTAGAATGTCCGTCTGTCTGCTCCAAGGCACTCAATATGCTATCACAGCTGTGCCCCTATGTAGATAGTGACTCAGGTAAGGCACCTAATATACCATCATAGATGCGCCCCTATGTAGATAGTGACTCAGGTAATGCACCTAATATACCATCATAGCTGTGCCCCTATGTAGATAGTGACTCAGATAAGGCTCCTAATATACCACCATAACTTTGCCCCTATTTAGACAGTGACTCGGGTAAGGCTCCTAATATACCATCATAGCTGCGCCCCTGTGTAGATAGTGACTCAGATAAGGCTCCTAATATACCATCATAGCTGTGCCCCTATTTAGACAGTGACTCCGGCAAGGCGCCTAATATACCACCATAGCTGCGCCCCTATGTAGATAGTGACTCAGGTAAGGCATCTAATATACCAGCATAGCTGCGCCCTTATGTCCTATACTGATTAAACATATTTTCTTTCATCAGATACAGGCAGTTGTAGTTCGGGTTTTTGTCCTATCTCAAGTAGTTTCCCAATAAGTGCCATTCCGTTGATGGTCACTTCATCGTTAGAGTACGATGAGATGGTCGCTGCCATGATAACAGCTACCAACTCAGTCTATCAGGAGTTCTTACGTTCAGATGAAGGGCAAGGGTTCAATGGAGAGGTACGTTGCTCATCACAATTAATCACTTTTTATAGTGGGATTCAGAATGTGTTTACTGGTTCCCAATAAAGTCTACTATCACACACTCACACACACACTAACACTACATTAATTGTTCTATGCATACAACTCACAACTCACTTGTTGATTTTTATGGAGGGAGGAAAACTCAGAGAACCTGGAGAAAAACCCTCGTGGTAAGGGAGAGAACAACACATCAAACAAACTCAACTCACATGTTGATTTTTATCGAGGGTGGAAAAGCCAGAGAACCTGGAGAAAAACCCTTGTGGTAAGGGGAGAAYAACACATCAAGCTAATTCACACATAGGGCACGCAGGGGTCGAGCCACCGACCCAGAGCGTGAACTCAACATTGATAAAAAGAATATTCATTAGGAACATAGACCAACCATACCATTGCCATTATTGTACTCGTTTTGTGAATAAATTAAATGAATAGATGAATGTGAACGACCGAAATAATGAAGGGAAAAAAGGACGACATAGGAAGGAAAGATGAAACCACACAAACACTCTTGTTGTTGATATTTTTATTATAATGTTATTTGCTTGCAGGTGTCTATTCTTGGCGACTGTATGGGTGCCTTACTAGTCTACGATGCTCTAACCATCCCCGTACCGTACCGTGGCCGAACTCAAAGCGTCAACTCCAACAGCAGTTCACAATTTCAACCATCGGCAAACAATTCTTCCTCCTCGTCTTTGAACGGCGAGTCAGGACCGTCGTCGCCAAAGATAGAGAAAGCACGTAGGATAAGCGCGCACGGTCCACCGAAGAACAATCTTGCAGCTTCTAAGGGTTTACGTATGTGTCTAAGCAGTGGAAATCTAAGAGAGAATGAGGAATATAGTACAGGTGAAGAGATGGATAGTCAAGGACGTAGATCTGTGTCTCCTTCTGAAGGTAGTACAGGTAACTCGCGTTTATGCTATATCTGAAATACTGAACTCCTGGTCAAACCTTTACACGAGTCCCAGTTACAGATATCAAGCCCATACAAAATCGTTTTGATTAACAATCTCTGGGCTGATCTAAGTCAGGACACGGCCACTTTACAATAGGCCCTTTGCAGTTAACGGTCACGTGTCTGTACTGGTGAGCAACATTTATTTATTTATTTTAAATTGGAGATTCTTTATAGCTACTCGTAAAGAACTGAATGAAACGATCTGTAACCAGTGTGTTACGAAATGCAGTTTTATTACGATCTCTCGAAACAGGTTGTAGAAATTTTGTTTGCTCTCCAGTATATTTCACCCATGGGAATCAAGATGTTCATTCATTTGCTCTCAGTGAATTAATCAGCACGTGATTACTGAGCTGCAAAGAGCCTATTCACAGATCAAGTTAGAATTTAGCTTGTTGAGTTCTGCTGTGGGGAGGAAAAGCAGAGAACCAAGAGAAAAACCCTCGAATCAAAGGAGAGACCCAACTCTACTCGAGTGTTGCCGGGTCCAGCAATCGAACTCCAGAGGGGAGAGGCAAGACATCTCCTGCGCCTGGATTAGTGTATTCCAGTGACCTTCATATGTTATATATATACATAAAAGCGACATTTTTTTATCTTGAAGGTTTCACTTACAAGGAGAGGACAGTGAGCAAGAACAGCTATGATGGTCTGTCTATGTCCTTGGACTCAATCGATCAAATGGCTTTCGATTTTGAAGTGTCCAAGTTCTTTGCTTTTGGCTCTCCTATTGGCTTGGTCTTGGGATCGAGGAAGTTCATACAAGGCGAAGATTATAAATGTAATTTTATTAGCTATCTTAGGTTTTTGCACCCATAAAAAGAGCACAGTGGGAGGAGAGGAAAAGAAAGGAAAGGAAAAGGAAGGGAAGGGAA